TATTTATCAAATCGCCATCGCTGCTGATGCTGCTTTCTAATTAAGCACTCCGATCAAAAGCATTCTTAACCGTGTTATCCAACATTAGATCCACGTAACTACAGCAGTTCTACGGAACCGATTTGCTTTCTGAGACTGCAAGCGTATTCTAAAATATATGGCATGGAACGAAATAACGTGTAATATTTTGTATGCTGTGTGAACATTATCACACAGCAACGCCCTTTCGGTAAGATAATCAAGATCAGTCAACTTTCCACGAAGTATTGGGTTTCGAGCTAGTATATGGTGCGTGACGCAGACAATCATCCGTTATTTGTTCTGCAAAAATACGTAAAGAAAATCGGTGGAAGTGGGCAACGTTGAAGTAAGTCGCCTTCGGTCTTGCATCTGTAAGAAAGTTTGCTGTAGATCCTAACATGAACTGATCTTTACAGTCGAGACCAACGAAAATAGCTGGCCGGCGGTAAGTGTGACCTTGCTCCATAATTTGGCGGAGGGTGAAAATTTGATCAGCACGGTCTTGTTCAAGACAATGCCTTATCTGTTCTTCCTTAACCCCAGAGCTGCAGTGAGTCGACGACGTATAGTGGATATAAGAACCCTGATCAGGAATGGAATGAAGTTAGTCGTTTATTGTCTTTTGCAGGAGTTCTTGATCCATTTTCTGAACGTGGAAGCAATCATCGAGGGATCTCAGTAGAGAGGAAATTTTTCTGTCATCCACACAAGTTGAAACAACCGAGTCAATTGCTCTACTAACACCTCCCAAACTTCTTAAAAAACTGCCAGCAAAAGGTCATCTGGGTCAATAGCCTTGTTGAGTTTGAGGGACGAAGTGGGATTATCGGACTCAGTTTTGACGGGTGGTTCTAAACCTACTGACCTTGGCACTAAATTGCCTGTTCTTGGTGGTAATACGGTAGAAACAGGAGGTCAGCTAAATTAAATCTCAAAATTTTCTTCTCAGCGGTCTAAACGTTAGAGCTAATTATGTATGCGTGCCATTTTCCTTGCCGATAGATTCAGTGGCATACGGACGCTGTGGACCAGAAATATGGATAAATCGAAGAGTCTGCTAGTTTGTTCTGAAACAAAACCTTTTCCAATTTTAAGAAGAACTTGTAAGAAGACGGCAAGTTGTCTTACCAGGAACGTTTCACTCCCAATACAGAAGCTTCGTCATGAACCGCCCGTGAGATTTGGGTCAGGCGACTGTTGGAATCTTCGGGATTAACACTCCTAAGCTTGTGTACCAGACAGGACTGATGAACATGCTTTACTGACGACCTCGTCAACTTCTCGACGGTTAGCAGCTGCAGTCGGTACCGTCAATGCCCCGAACGATTAAGGACAAGACTAAGACTTACAACCGCATGGTCTGAATCTAAGCAAGGACGGTGAAGCCCAGAGTATACGGTAAGGGCTGGATCTGTCGGAACAACGTGACTGTGATCAGCTATATCTTTTGTAGTATCTGTTGAATAATTACCAGAAATAGACATCTGGAGGGCCTGAAAACTTTAGGTCAGATCTCAGAAGAAAGGTCAGCAGTAACACCATTTCGCCTATCCATTCTTTTGTATGCGGGAGGTTTGCCGCGAGACGATCAACGCAACAACGAATTATTGGTGTTGTGATTAATTGTGGTTACATATGGGTTAGGATGTTGTTGAGATGATCAAACATGTGCATCAAACTATTAAGGTTTCCAACTAAAGTAATTGAAAATAACCTGTACCGAATAACAACGGGTAGACGATGACGTGCCAGAAGTGATATCACTATTTTGAGAAAAAGCTGCCAGCATTTTTTCGGACCCCCAGTCTAAAGGACAAGGAGAATGTGGTTTGAAACACTGAGTTCCCTTTAACCACTTCATCAGAGCAGAAAGAAGACATATGTTGCGATATGTTAACATTTCATTTATTCTCATCAGTCGCAAACGTAAAACATGCCAGTTATATACATCATACAGATAGGGACAGACAGGGATTAGACACGCATACCAGCACAGCAATTATTATGTAATCACGACCATGGCAACCCGATAGGTTGTCTCAACCACTTTTGTGCACACAGCGTCGGCTGGTAAGTTCGGATTAGCATCGCTTCACAGAAAACTAATAAGTTTGGGTTTCGATTGCGCAACAATATCTTGAATGAGTTAACTGGGTCAACTTGGTGACCTGTTGTCATGAGGCGTTTAGCAATCGATATGATGTATATAACTGAATGTTTTACGTTTGCGACTGATGAGAATAAATGAAATGTTAACATATTGCAACATATGTCTTCTTTCTGCTCTGATGAAGAATGTGGTTTGCCGTACCCGTCAGCCTACCGAAATTTATGACTGTGTCAGTGTGATCATGGTACCGTTCAGTTTAGCCCAGCAGGTCATCAAGATATGCAGGTCGTCATATCACGTCAAGGTGTGTTCTAGTTTTAACGTAAGTTCACACAGTCAGCTTGATGGGAGCGTTCACTGTGTAGGGTCTGTCGGGTAGAGATATCCTCCCACACAGTCTGAATCGGGCAATCGCCGTTGCTAGATTATCGGTGACGTCCAAATATAACAGATGGAGTTCAACATGAGTGATTCCATCAATACCATAGGGAGTGGTGAACATACGATTTTTCTATGGAATCAGGTCTGATTAGCGTGTTGGAATCGGTTTCCTCCACTGCTGTCAAGCGGACTGTAGCAAAAAGACGACATTAAAGCTTACCTCTAGTATGATCTGTGTGGCATGTGGTTTGTCTCTGAACACTGAAAAACATAACGGCCTTATCCCCGTAGAGCCTCCATCCGCTGGATCCTAACACAAACGCTTATATGCCTTGGCTTGCTTGTCGGGTTGATCCGGTTAATGACTGAAAAACATAAACCTTGCTCACATGTGTCTTGTTTTAAGTAACCAATACATCAGGTATTCCCCGAGCTTTCATCCAAAACGTACCTTGAGCAGCAAGCCTTGTCTCAATGTCACGGTACTTTTCCCTCAGCAACCCACTTACTGAAAGCGGTCTGTTGTGATTTAGATATTCCAGTGTTGTTTCAACCCAGTAGCTGACGTATTTTCGGGCTGCCGACTGGATACCGTTTTGTTTTACGGTGAATCCTTTTTTGAACTTCTGACAGAGACATAAGACAACAATAAAGATGGGAAATGGAAACATGTACCAAATCTGACCAATGTTTGTCACGTACGTTTAGAGGGCTGTATGCCCTGATATAAACCACGGTCAACACCATATCACCGTGGAGTCAAATTTTGAGACTTCCTTTTATTAGTGTCTGCCGTTTCACTTGGTGTACACTCACTAAGGCCCAAACATACCGTTTCATTTGAGAATGGCGCCTTAGATATCATCGACTCTTACTTGCCGATAAAACATCCACTTCCTTATTGTCCAACAAAATAATTTAGGATACACAGCAATTCAGCTAGTGCATATACGACCACATTCTTGAAAAGATATGTCATTTTTCCGTAGCTTTTAGTTTCCATGAATGAGATTAGTGTGTTCACTGTACTGTAAACCTTATTAGGATCAATTAGTTTATGTTGTCCTGCCGAGTTATGTAAGAAATCCTAAGGAGGTACATTTATTTCTCTAACCAACTTTTATCATAGACAGTCACCTACACATATAAGAAAGGTGACTGTTTTGTTTTGTCAGATCTCATTTCTACCATTATGAATTGGTTGAATCTATCTTACCTATGCTACGATGAGTCTCCTTTATTTCATCCGCCATAACTGTACTTACCCTGTCCCACTAAGAGAACATGGTGACTGAAACAGCACGGATGAGAATCTGTGTTCGAATGGAACTAGAACCATATTTTACCCGTCGGTTGCCGCAAAGAAGGGCGCGTGAAATGTTATTTGATGTCTGAACGATCCAATGTTATGTGCTAACACTTATCCTATCCATCTGCACCACAGTACAGATAAGTTTTTGGACTTTAGACTACCAAGATACAAACAAAATCAACAAACTTCATACAAGTTTGCAATGGCCTATTGATCCAGCGCTATATTATGCAGGCCAGCATATGAAAATAACCATAGATAGGCTGACGAGCACACCACCTTATCAAAGAATTTCATGTTGAGGTATTATGCCTAAGGATTCTTTGACACGGACAAACTTGTATTCTTTTTCAGTTGAACTGGAAGATTGTATCACGTTGGATTAATTAGCAAATTACTCGGCACTCTAGCTTTTTCGAAAGTTTAATCATTACTGTTCTCCAGAGATATTCTTCTGTTCTGTTGCTCGTATTTTTGTATGATAGAGCGTGTGCTATGTTTGTTAGGATTCAACCATCAGAAATAGGTGAATTATGGTCCACTCCGGCTGTGACCCGAACCTTCAGCACTTGTCCGATGAGGCCACATGATCGCCAGTTTGGGGATTTCAATTGCCATATCGGGTTAAAGTGATGGTAATGACACCTGAGCTGAAACGGTTTCCCATCCATCCTTCAGCAGAGGACAAGTTAAGAGGTGTTCTCTCTTCAAGGTTGGTTCAGTCTGACTCAACACTGATGCATGAATTTGATATCTTTGTATTCGACACTTACGAGAAGGTCACTGGCTTTCTAATACACATTTATGACTAGTGATCTCAGTTAAGTGAACATTTTCAGGTCGGCCCAACTAAATTTTAAAACCCTAGAAGTGCAGAGGGGCCGACTGGAAAGTCTATGGGAATGCGACAGCTGCGATCAATTGTGAGTGATGTTCAATTTGAAATTAACCAAATCCCCGACTACTCATCAGTAATCTAAAATATCGCCTAGCAGGTTCAATGAGATCGGAGATTTCGACCTGTCTACGAAGTCCTAATCGCGGGGTTATCGATTGGAGTTAACAGACAGTAACTGTGTCTCCATTTCGAGACGACCGGGCAGCCTGATCATTACTCACAAGCGAAAGTGGTTGAGCGTTCACATGCGATGATAATTCGGTCGTGTCTAATGTGAGGTCAATGGCGTAGTGGTAAACACGGTTGTCTCATGAACAACGTGTCCGTGGTTCAAGTCCCGGCATTGGCGATGATATGCACTACTGACGAGCTCTAATGAGAGCGAAACTCGAGTCTAGTGCTTCTGCTGTTCGAAATGTGCCGACCGGATAGTCTATGGGAATGCGACAGCTGCGATCAATTGTGAGTGATGTTCAATTTGAAATTAACCAAAGCCCCGACTACTCCAGTAATCTAAAATAGAAGTACCCTAGAAATGCAGGGGGATGTGAGATAATATCAACATTATTTCACTAGTAAGATTCATTACACGCATCTCTCGTGTGTTTGTGCTGCACGCAGTATCCGTTCGAATGACATTACCAGTCGAATTCCCCCGGAGTAATAACTATCATTTGTGAAATCCAGAGCGTCTTTAGGTTTGTTGCTCAACCCTGGTCCAACCGATTATCTGTAAGATGGATGAGGTTCTGCACCAGGGATTCTTGTTACCACGATGACCTGTTGTGTTGTTGAGCAGTTTTGTCAACAAGCACTGCTGGCTGTACCAATTTCTTATTTCATTTATGCATTAGGTATTCTGATAACCGATTTGTGGTACATTTGTGATCCTAGTGAAGCATGCAGGTTTCAGCAGTGCAGAGATATTACTGGGATGACTACGAATGCTGAAGCTTGTTTGTTTCCAAATGGTTGTGTTGCTGTACCTGATAAACACGGAGTTTAGCGGCAAATATCGACTTCGAATAACTGTTTTTGTTGGATGACAGATGCGTTGACAAAATTATATTTCTCTATAGCCTATTTCTTCTTGCTTTAATGGTTGTTTCATGTTCAGGCGTCCCATCCGAAGGTGACTGAAACAATCTCCCCTGTGAATTCCAAGCTAAACCAAGCCAGCAAAAATGGGATCAGTGATCATCCAACCAAGGAAATGCTAAAGTCGGCCCCATCATCACCGACGCAAGAGATAACAACTCTAAAGACAGGCTTTACTGCAGATAAATACCTCATCCAACCGGATGGACCCAATGTGGAGCAGTCAGTACAAATCAGTCCCATCGAGCCGAACCCTCCAGTGCAACACGTATCCTACGTACCCCCAACTACTAGATCAGAAGTTGGCTGTCAAGAACCCATATGGCATGGGGATAGGCCCTCAGACAACCAACGTCAGTCGTTACCCAAATCAAGTGGGTACACATCTGAAGTCGAATTAGTGGGTTGAGTAAAGTCACTGTTAGTGGGAACTGAAAAGTATACATGTCTGAGTCTTCCTATATCAGAGGCACTTTTGCTTTTATATGGTTGAAGAACGTACTGTTTCATACTCATGGTCTTTGAGAGGAAAATTCCGTACTTCGTCACCTGGTCATTAAGCGTTATTCTGTACATCATTTACCTTTGGTAAGACTATGTTAGGTGGTGACTGCCTTGACTACTTACATCAAACAATAATTTCATCGTAAATAGGATAAACGTAAGAATCTTACGTAGAATAATTTAACACTCATAAACACTTGAACCTTACAGATTTTCTGCGTTCTTCTGAGAATTTTAGTAGGTGTGGCTATACCGGGACGATTGTAATCAGGTCATAAGCAACCGATATTCAAACACACCCATTGACTAAGTCTAAGTTGTCGCTTTGGCCTTCTTGTGAGGCCGTAACTCGGTATACACGGCGATGGATTACTTTCATTAATTGCTGCGCTTCTTTTTCTCATGAATGAAACTCACTCAGTGCCTATTTCTGGTGAGAAATAGGGGATTTTTAAGTCAAGTGAACTGAACACCGTTTATAACTAGTCGTGCCTGTCACATTCCCATAGACGTTTCTGTAAGCCTGTTCCGAAAAGAAGTGCTAGCTTCGAATTTTTCTCTCATTATAGCTCGTCAGCAGTGCATGCCCCTGACACGGTTTGGATTGGAACTCCTGACAAATTTTTCTGAGACAGCTGTGTTGTTCATTGCACCAGCTGCCTCACATTGGGAACGACTGAGACATCACATGCAAACAGTTAGGCACAATAGTGTAAGGTCAGTGGTGCACTGAACAACACAGTCGTCTCAGGAAAATTTGTCAGGAGTTCTAATCCAAACCGTGGCAGGAGCATGCACTGCTATCGAGCTTTAATGGGCGAAAAACTCGAGGTTAGCACTCCTTTTCGAAACAGGCTTCCTGAAACGTCTATGGGAATACGACAGCTACATTCATTTGTGGGTGTTGTTCAATTTATGTCGGTACTTGTTTAATATTGGTTTGTAGGCAGCCAAGTGTCTACCGCCGCTACCAGAAGGTTTTGAGGACGGTTTACGAACAGACCATCTCAATGACCATCATAGACGTGATAAGTGACTACTTAAATCTAAGCTGATTTTCGTCAGCTTCATGCAATTGGAGAAATAGAAACCTCGATTTATGTGCAGGTATGAAAGTGATAGTTTAGGAACTCATTCACAAGATCACATACTTTCCTGCACTTTCAATTACCAGGAACTCATGGTCGCAATTATATCATTATACCACCATTCTGGGACTATCTTAAAGGTAGTGGTTTCAAGTCTTCGGTTTACTTGATGCTGGAGAGACCCAGATAGGTCGAAACGCTTATCCATCACATCGCTGGTGATCACTGAGACCGGTTGGTTGCACACTACTACATTTCATGTTCCTTGTCACATCTTACCCCATCTCATTTATAACTAGGGAAATCTAGGGAAGCGTTTGGTATTGCTAACAGCCCCCTTGTTCCATAGTTCAACAAGTCATTCTTGTTTCAAATCCCCTATACACACATATGAAATTAAAACCACCCAAAACGTATTTGGTTTATTACAATTTCCTCCACGACTGATACCAAACAACTATGTTATGCACGCAAATAAGGACTCAGTGCATCCATATTCGATTGAGTGTTTTGTGTTCCCTATGTTTTTGCGTCCCAATGAAAAACTTCATTAAAACTTACCAATAAAACCTTACCGATTTTTGAAGTGGAAGTAAATATAAGTCAGTAGGATACGCTTGTTATCATACTTACGATCACCCCATCACCTTAAAATCTTCAGTGGTTTTAGTGAATGTCAGAATTTCATGCATATCAAACGATGGATATCTGATTCCAGTGTACTATCCAATTTCACTTCAAGTCAGCCCAGCATCACTGGCCCCGTTACCAGCACCGCGAAACTCATTGCCAGCTTCTATCAGCCTTGAATCACCTGTACCCCGTGCTCGACGAACCATAGAACCAACTAGAACACGCCTGGAGGAACACGAGAAAGTCGGTTCAATTACAGATACAATCAACCCTTCCCCTTCGACCAGTAGTAGAGCGAGCACAGTGTTCTGTACGCCATGGGATACGGCCCCCTTGGGTGAGTATATTTCAGACTTGATCAAGCTCACCGGAGAACCGAGCGGAAAGGCATTGGGGAAAGATACCTCTGCCTTTAGACGTCGTACGGTGTCCAGTTTGGAACAAACACCGGTCGGCTTGAGGACCTCTGGAAATGGTGAACTACGTGTTGTAGACCGTAGGGAAAAGACTACGGAATTTCAACGGTTGCTGTGGTTGTGGATGATGAACAGTCACGCTGTGACCGATGAGCGAGAAAAAGCGGTGGGTGGACCACAAAAATCGCATCATATAAATGAAACCGATGTACATCCGCCGCCGGTACCAGAACGTCGAGTGCGTCTACCTCCTTTCAAGCCTACCGTCCTGAACTCTATTGATGTGAAACAAAGTGTACCGCCAGACGATGTTCAAATTAGCGTAAGTGGACAAGGCTGTTACCTTGTAACGGTCTCACATTCGTTTTTTATACTTATGATATCTCGAAGCGGCTTGAACTTTGTGCAGTTCTTTTCAGCTAGCCACGTGAAAGATTTACTTGCATTAGATGAAGATCACATATTCATTGTCCGTTTCAAACATTCTGTAGATGCTGTCAATTTTCGTCTGCTATTGGCCGATTAAACGCTATCTCATAAGATTGAAGTCCACGAGCAAATGAGAATTGTGTGTTAATGTGCTATCCACAGTCAGTTTATCCTCGCTGTGAACTCCTATGTAGGATAATGAGAGGTGGCGATTTGGAACCTTGTTTTTGCGTATAGTCCACCTAAAGTTTTCGCAACAAACATTATTTTTTATCTCACACTCCAACATTGATTGTCATGAACTTCTGAAATCGGACAACTAACATCGAAGTCACTATACATACCCGACGGTAGATAAACTGAACATGAATATTTTATGTTCCACAAACTCTGTGAGCGTCAAATTGCTGGTCCACACTTTTGGCGGACGTGAGGCATGAGGGCTGTTATTCACCGTCCACTTACTGTATGACATCACTGTTATCAGTTACTCACTACCTCGTGTCCCGTAGGATTTATTTGTATTAGCAGACAGATTCAGGTCGGCACGAAAAACACAGAAACTGTGATCGAGATTAGCTACGAGCAGCGCACCCCGCAACTCAGATGGTCTTAAGAATTTGATGAGACTTTTTACAAGTATGGGTGAACTTTCGAAGCTATAGAGTTTGTGTGAGTACGTGAATATTCAGCTAACTGAAGTGCATATCTTTCAAACTCATCTGTTGTTCCTCATCAGTATCTGCAATAACTGCTCCTTTCCAAATATGCATACAGCGTTACATTTGGGGATTATGTCAGTCACACCATACACTGCCATCAATCACAGAATATGAAGATATGCGGGGCTATATGAATTGGACATCACTCGCAAATGACCGCAGTTGTGGCCTTCCCATAGACTATTCAATGGGTGTGTGCATGCACGTGATAGCTGTTTGTCACAATTTCGATGTATCGCACACTAATCAGTCAGATGGTCGGTCCTGTAAAGTGAAGAAAAATGTTACACCTTCCAGAGTTCCCTTTTTGGCAGAAAAAACTGTTCACACAGTACTTTTATGTTAATTTGGCGAAAAAGTCCGCTAGGAAACGTCTTCCGAAGTGAATGGCGCTAAGTTTATGAACATGAAAAGTGAGGAGTGACCAAACCGTTGTGTGGCGTCATACGTAGCAATAAC